TCCAATCCATATTAAGGAAAAAAAAAACAATTCAGTACTTGTACATTGGTCGAGCCAAGTTAATGTTAGGGTGCTCACACTATAGAGAATTTTATAATTGTACTCAACAAATTTTGGACACTTACATACCATTGTTTTGTACATGGAACATTTTTTTAGTAAGGTATTTTTTGTCATTAGAAGGGTGTGACATCATTCACATGAGGTGTGACATCACCCACATGGAGTACACTAGTTAAATGACATGGATCCTCAACAAAAAGTTGAGAGATCGAACCATGCCCATATTTATTATTTTTGAACCCCTTACTTTAATGATCATGTATTTCTTTTAATTAACCCTGTTGAACCTTACTTTAATGATGCCTAGTATCTGAGGGGATTTGAACCTTGGACGTAAGGCAAGGAAGCGTACATACTAGCCAACAAGCCATTTGTTTGAATGAAAATGGCATACTTAGTGATACAAGTGTGCACTGTACTGGGTGAGTGTCTGAGTAACTTGCTTGAGTCAACTCGACTCAGACGAGTCGCAGAACACTGCCGTGTTATGTTAATGATTTCTTATTATGATTGCATTTGCATACCTTAATTTTGTGTGTGTGGTTGCAGTGGGGCTTCATCTTGAAGAGTACAGAGAGAGAGAGAGAGAGTCATGTTTTGTTTCTTACTTTTCGAAATTTGCCTAGTTATATGTTCTTGATAGGATTGGCTTGACGTTATGGATAGTGGTTCATTCAGTGATTTATCTTCCTAGAAATGTCAATTTTGTATTTTGGATCTATCGAATAATAGTATAAGTTATGTTTCCAGCTCAATCCAAGTAGAGGTCTAAGAAACTTCTTCTAAATCGAAGTAGAGGACTTAGAAACTTGGAATCTTTGTGTGAAAATTCCCAAGTGGTCACCTAAAATGAATAGTAGTAAAAGTTGTGCTCCCAGCAATTAGATATTAATCGAATGGTTAAAATGCATATTTCTACTTGAATTACAATATTGTTTTACAAATTGAATTAAAATAAAATTTGGCTTGTATATTACAAGAAAAATATATATAAAAAAATTTATATTAAAACTTAAAATGATCAAACTCTTAAACTTGGAAAGTTATGAGGTAATTTGGTTATTTCGAGTGTTTTAAAAATATTTTCTTATATTTTTATATGGTGAGTGGTGGTATTGTCTAAAATTTTTAATGTAAATATTTTTGTGAAAGAATAATTAAAATTCAAATAGTAATAACTATTTTCAACAACCTGATCAAAGCTAGGAGCATAACTTAAATTATTATTCATTTTAGGCATGATGGTTTTATCTTATATATACATGTGTGTGTGGAGCGTGCAACATAATGCAAGAGATAGAAGCCACCAGGCCCTTTGTTATTACCAACATAATGTATAGAGTTAGGTTGAATAAAAGAATTTGGTATTTCCCTTTGGAGAAAAAAAAAA